TTATAGATATCCCACTCGCATCCCACTAAGCGACAAAAAGGGTGTTAAAGGAAAACACATAAGCTTTCTTCTGAGCAAAAAAAATAAATAAAAAATGGGTCCATTTTTTAAAAAAAAGTCAACAAAGTTTTTGATTTTGCAAAAAAATTCAAAAATTTTAAATCTTGAGTTACAAAATATTTGTTTTGATAGATATCCCACTCGCATCCCACTAAGCGACCATATAGTCGCTTAGGAAAAGACTTAAGCTTTCTAAAAAAAAAATAAAAAAAATAATAAAAAGGGCCCATTTTGAAAAAAAAGTCAAAAATGTTTTTGATTTAAAAAAAAAAAAAACAAAAATATTTTATTAAATTTTTTTAATTTTTTTTTTCGAAAGATTGCATAAATAGCTATCTAAACTATTTGGGACACATTTTGCTAAGAACAATAGGTAATAAGTTACATGGATGAGAAAAAACACCTGCATGGCCAAAATCTCAAATTTTGACCGCCTCTAACTTAGAAAGTTCACGAGCGATCTTGTTGAAAAATTGTGTCTGAATTACTATCCAATAGAACTAACTATGGTGCAAATTTCATCGCGATCGGAAGACATCGATTTCAAAAGTTGGTTCACTTGACGTGAAATGCCCCATATGTATATACCATTACGAAGGTGAAGGGTATAAAAAGATATTTTCATCTCTAATAAATTTTAAATATTCATTAGTTTTATTTGTATATAAAATATTGGGAATCTTGTTGGAGTCGAACATTTATATTTTTATGTTGTACATGATTTTTTTTTTAAATTCACATATTTTTTCAAAGCAAACTATATAAAATTTAAATAATACATTAACTTAAATTTGACTATATTTACATAAACTAGTAATTCTTTGTTTTATTACGTTCTATATGGTTAGCGTGAATGGGCGATGACTCCTGGGATTTTAACGATATTTTACAAATAACTTCATAGATATTCGGGAAAAATTGTATGACGAAGTACACTGAGCATAAATAGCTACAAATTAAGATGGTTAGGAACAAGTCGAACACTGCTGGTTTAACACGGTAAACATTAAGAATTGCATCAGAGCCTTCATATAACATAAAATCGGGTTCCCGTGCGTCAGGTTTTTCATAAATAACTTTTACATTTTTAAGGTACTTTTCAAAGGCGTTCTTCAAGTCGTTGTTTTGCAAAGCTGATTTCAAATTTATGTATGATTTGATGAGCTTATTTGTAATTTGCTATTTAAAAAGAGAAGGGACAAAAATTAGAAAAACAATTCAGTCGTTGAAATTAAGTAATGTTTAATAAATGCAAAAATATCGGTATTTTTAGTATTTCTTTTTAAAAGATTACCATGGTTCCTGAAAATATTTCAAAGTCTTCAATCTCTTCTAATGCGGAATTTGTATAAACATAACGAGCTAAAGCCTCAGCAATAATTTTTGCATTACGTTGTGTTTGTGTCAAGATGACTTCTTCCTTATCCTTAAATATAGTTGTACGCGAGTGATGCTTTGGTGACTTCAAAGACGACAAGGTAAATGATGGCAAACGTTTAATACTAAAGCGTTCATGTTGCCAAGCTAATTGTGGTTCAGCTAAATTAATTTTTTTGTGAACACCTTCAGTAGTTATATTACTATATATGTTCGAAACATTTTTTAAATGCTTAAAGAATATATTTATTGGCGTATTTTCTTTTGGTGGTTTCGAAACATGCATGTAAAGATTGCTGCTTTCTGAATTTATAGACTGAGTGATCGAATCTAAACATAAAACAAACTCGACGTTCTGCAAATAAAAGATATTTGTAATATATTATGAGTATATCAAATGATCTGTCCAATACGAAAACAAAGTTAAAAAACGAGTTTGTATTAGATTTTCAAAAAATTAATAATTCAGAAAAAAATTATTTTTCAAGTGGTTGAAATCCATGATGATGTTGTTGATTTAGAATGGTTTTTTCAGGGTGCACTTATAAGGTGAAGTCAATTCAACAGCTCATTTTTTTATTTGAGGTAGATACAACTGTCAAAGAACACCATTTAGAGTTGCCACAATCCAAAAAAATATGTACATCTATCTAGGGATTCATTATATTTTTAGGACAAGAAATTAATAAATAAATTTTATATTCATTTTAATCCATAGTAAATTTGTGCGAAATACTAAAAAATTGCACAAACTATTTGTCTTAAATATGCATCTATTTTATCAATTATAGGGAACTTTTTACTAATCAATTGAGAGTACAAACATTCCACAATTGTAAAAAAAAAAATATTAAAACTCGATTTTATCATAGATATCTTAATTTTTTACAACTTTCCATGGTAGTGGTTTGGTCACATTTCTATAAAGATCATTATATATTTCTTATACGACAATAGTAGAGGCCTACACGGTATTATAAGTTCCCAATATTGACTGATAATAAATAATATGTATATAATTTGTATTTTTGCTACTTCTTACAATATTGTAATCTAATACTAATTTTTTGTTATTTTAATTGATAATTTATTTACTTTTTTAATAAGTAAATAATAAATAATATTCTTACCCCCTTATTCACAAACAATATTTTTATTTTATAAAAGGTTTATAAAACAAAATTTCCATACAAAATACCGTTTATAAAATAAAAATTTAGTTTGTGAATAATTTTTCAATTCATGTATAATTTTAATTAAATTTTATCTTATAATACATATTTACTTTACGTGAAGAGAATTTTGGGCATGTGGGATTGTCTTTTTTATAAGATAAATTAAAAAAAAAGCACGGTGGCAACATGTAAATTTTTTGACAGAAGTATCTACTTTTGTTGTTTTTGTAGAATTGACTTCACCTTATAAGTGCACCCTGGGTTTTTTCAAATAGATACTTTAAACTACCCAGGAAAAACTTACATTGAAAAGTAATGAGTTAAAAAGCTAATAAAAGCGGTGATGTCATTGGAGGCAAGTACTTCTACGCTCGCTTACAAATAGGGAGTTAAAGAAGTACTTGCAATTTCTCTTAAAAAACAGTTGTTGAGTAAGTTGCTTTGTTTTTTAATAATAAAAAGAGCCAGCTAGAATACGAAGCAGGGACTTCAGTTTGTTAGTCAAATATTTTACTCACTGCACCACTGCTTAGCTATTTTACTGTGCGTCAAATAATGGCTTTTACATACAAAACTAATTTTGTTTTCTTTTTTGTAAAACACAATTCCTAACACGCAATTAAATAAAATGTGCAAACAAAATAACATCAGATTAGAAGAAAGTCATTACTAGAGTACTTCTAAGTAATGCAGACGTTAAGTAGTAGTCACTGAAAAGTAAGTGGTTATGGAAGTATAATCCATTACCGAGTTTTTGCTGGGTAATTATCTAATTCATTCACGGGCAGCATTGGGATTGTAATGTACGTGATTATAGACCAGAAAATTGCGACGCTTCGTTGGCACACGTACACTATAAGCTTGTGTGTATTGGTGTGTCTGTTTTTTAGTAAAATGAAACGTTGTTTGTTGTTGCGTAATTTTTCAACACTGTTGCCAACTTTTTCCCCCAAAAATATCGCTAAAGCTAGAAAATAGCTAAATTCAAGACATTTTTACAACATTTTACAAAATAATATTTTTGTAGAGGATTCCGAAAAATGTTTCTGATTTTTTTATTAGTCTTAAAAGTTTGCGACCTATCGCTAAAATCTATATACAAACAGTGGTGGAAAAAATAATAGAAACGACTTTATTTTGGGGTTAAAACTAAATTTTTTCAAAAAGTACCCGTTAGAATTTATTGATTTGTATCTTAAATAAAAGGTATTTAGGTCTACTTTCCTATGATAAATGGAGTTTGTAAGTTTTGTTGCTCCATCGTATTTTATTGGTATTTAAAAAATTTGGCATTGAAAAAAATAATAAAAACTATTCACAGTATTACACTGGGGACATAAACTGATATTTCTTAAACTACGTTTTGTACTTATTTTTAAAAATTTTAATTATAAATGAAATTCTAATAATTCTTAATACTTTTTACTTTAATTTTTATGTTAACATTTGTTTTTTCGAAGCTCGATTGACCATATGGATCCTGAAAGCTGAATCAGAGGCCCGACTTTCAAGTTTACTTAAAAAAAAAATTTAAGATAGTGAAAGAAATGTCTTCTAATGGTTAAATTATCTAAAAAACAAGTAAGAAAGTATAGTCGGGCGTGGCCGACCATATGATACCCTACACCAGTTATGTATATTAAATGTGATTTATTTATCATAATATCGCATTTATCTTCAATATTCCCTTGTTCCGATACATTTAAGCAATTCATGGATGAAAAACTAATTTTCTGAAAGAGGCTTTATATGGGGGCTAGGGGCAAATATGGACCAAACCCGATAAAATTTTTTGAATATATTTATATTTACATAATATTTTATTGTGCTATGCTTAATTTGGGACATTCAAGTAATTTTCGGAAGGGGACTTTGTATGGGAGCTAGGGTCAAATGGGGCCCGATCTTTATGAAATTTGGCAGCGTTATCAAGACTTCTATAAAACGGACGGACATAGCTTAATCGACTCAGAAAACGATTCTAAGCCGATTGGTATACTTTAAGGTGGGTCTAGGACGAATATTTTTGTATGTTATAAACATCAGCACAAATCCAATATACCCTCCCCACTAAAGTGGTGTAGGGTATAATTCGTTTCTGAGAAGATTTCGAGAAGAAAAAGTTTTGAACCCACTTATAGATAAGGACAATCCACCGATTTTTGGGCCCAATTTCGAGCAATATTTCGCTATTTTGCAATTCGACCTGTTCTTGGTGGTTAAAAAGTGGCTTAAATATCAAAGTATATTGATGGACTTGTGAAATAATAATAATAAAATGTACCTTATCATATTAAAACATCAGAAAGAATATTCTTTGTAATTTTTTCCATAAAATAAACGTATTAGATTTTAGAAAAGGTAATGAAATAAAAAACATATTTTATTTCCCTCGTCGTATTGGGTCTATACTAGTATTAATTCCCAAACAGTACTATACCTAAATTTAAAACAAATTTTCGAAATTTTTACATTTCTTGAAATTTTAGTTTTAAATTCAACTTATTTCACCTGGACATCAAGATACTTTGACATTTAAGCCCCTTTTTAACCACCAAGAACGGGTTGAATTGCCAAAATGTGAAATATTGCTTAAAATCGTGGCCAAAAATCGGTGGATTATCGTTATCTATAAGCGGATTCAAAATTTCTTCGGCTCGAAATCTTTTCAAGAACTAATTTTTTAAGTAATTTAGCAATGTTAAGCAAATTTTTTCACTGTTTTAACTTTTTATTAAAGAAAATTTGAAAATCGTGGCTCCAATTCAGCCGTCAGAGCTCATATGGTTAACCAGGCGTTGAAAAAAACACACGTTAAGATAAAGAACCGAGGAAACAGTATATATTGATATTGGGAATATCATTTACAATTCAAATTTTTAAAAATAAATACAAAACGCACTTTAAGAAATCTCAGCTTACGTCCCCAGTGTAACACTGTGAATCGTTTCTATTATTTTTTCCAATGCCAAATTTTTTACCAATAAAATACGATGGAGCAAACTTTCTAATAAGTCCTCGATAATACGTATTAGAAGAATAATATCACTTCCCAGGTATTCCTTTTTTAGTTTATTTTGTCATACTGTGGAATCTTATATAAATATCGTATTTAAAACACACAAGTTTGAATGGAATATAGGAGTAATTAGAAAGAACTTTAACCTATTTATTTTTTTGTGCTGTATTTTTATTTATGTTTATCAATTTGTATATATATTAATGTTAATGAAAAATTAATGCATTAATTTTATTACTTATTTAATGTTAATGTAAAATGAATGCACTTAATTCAGAAATATTTAATGTTAATGCAAAATTAATGCATTAATTTTAAAAAATATTTAGTGTTAATGTAAAATTTATGCATTAAATTCAAAAATATTTAATTTTAATGCAAATGTAATGCATTAAATTTTACAAATTTAATGTTAATGCAATATATTTTATATTAAATAATTTTTTTTATTTAATGTTAATGCAAAATTAATGGCCCAGGTCTGTAAAATACATACTGCTGTTAAGTTAATAACTAAAACTCAAAAAATTTACATTGAAGGCATTTTTTTATATGTAAATATCATAATTTTTAAAAATTTTTCAGCGATATTATCAAAATATAAATGTATTAAAAATGCCTTAAAATCATATCTTTTCCCGCAAAATGAGATTAAAAATCGCTACATTTGATGAGAAAATAGCTAAATTGGCAACAGTGTTTTTTAATGCATGTTATGTTCTCTTTTATTACACATAGCAAATGTTTGATATTGATGGTTAAAAAATAATTAATACAAAATGAAATAGAATTATAATTTTTTATAGATAATATTCATTATTTATAAAAATATTTAGTTTTTCATGAAATTACATTATATTTTTCCCTGTTTTTTCAGTAAATTATAAAAAACTTATTTACTAATGTAAATTTATGTATGTACATTAGTACGAAATATATTTTATTTTGCATATTCACAACTTTTTACAGTGTACTACTACTAAATGTTTACTTAAATTCAGCTCTCTGCTGCTTATCGCTTGATATGCTTGATAGTGTGTGTCTGCTCAAGACTGATCTACTTGTATAGAATTATGAAATCTTAAACAACTTACCTGTAGTTGAACATTTTCGTCGAGCCATTTTTTAGCACCTTGATAATTTAACAATGGACCCGATTCAGTTAACAAAAATAGGATACGGTATTTAAGAGCCGTATTCGAAGTATTGTGCAATTTACTAAACATGTCTGCTAGAGTCAGTAGAACTGCTGCATCAGCATTTAGGGGATAGTCATTATACAATCCAAAAGTATTTAGGTGGGCGGCTACAATTATCATTGGCAATTTGCTGTTTGTATCTGTAATACCATCGGCAAATTTCGTAACCTTCGTAGGTGCTAACTCACCCTGAATAATAGGAATTTTACTGATCTTGTTATTTGAATGACTGGCTCCAGACACAATAATTTGGTAACCATTTGCAGATATGGAACTAAATACTTCATTTAAAGCCGATTCGCGTTGCTTTGTTTGAGTGTTAGATGAACTAGATTGTTCTATCCGCTTTTTACTAGCAGTTCGTGTTATATCAGCTATAATGTCCTCTAATTTTGAATTGTACGCCGAAAAGTACACTGGTATTGTAATTGCTTGTTCCAAGACAGTTTGCTCTAAAAGACTGATATGCTAAGAGTAGAACGAAAATAGTTATATAATATTTTTTTATCAAAAATTTTAGTAATGCTGCTATATGTATTTACTATTTTCAATGAATACTTACTTCTTTTTCCTCACTGCTCATTGATGCAACATCTTTTGGCAAAAGTAGTACTAAACCACCAGCCTTTGACGAATTTCTCTAAATTGATCAACTGTCATATCTTGGAATCTACAAATGAAAAAAAGAAATAAATATTTATTATTAAATTACGTAAATAGACTTTTTTCTATTATTTTGTTCATGTAAAAATGGGCCCTTTACCTATAAAATGGAAGTAAAGAATCTTATCGATAACAAGACCTAAACATTTCATTTTGTTAACAAATTCAATAGATTCATCATTAATCATTACATTAACGGCGCTTGTGTCAAATCCAAATCCCATAACCTTTGTTTTTTATGTTGTTAACACGGAAACCATTTTCAGATCCCCACGATTTAACAATATGGAGTATATAAGTAACACCTTTGTTTAATACATCAACGAATTCAGCATCAGAATAACAAACAAATTGAACATCATCAGTATAAACAAAGAGCAGACAAGAAAACCGTTGAAGTTAAGCAAAAGATCATTGATATAGAACATAAAAACAGTGGATCGATAACGTAAGCTGACCATACGTCCTCTTTTCTAGAGGAAAATCATCTATTTTAAGTGGCTGTCATCTTTAAAATTTATGTCGTTTTTCTATCATATATTTCCATAATATGTCATCTTAATTTTGAAAGCTTGATCAATATTTATTTTTGTAAATTAAAACAAATTTTATTAATTCATAAAAGTCAAATAGCTTAAATTACCTTCATTAAACCATTGACAAATATAAGATTTTTTTGTAGGCTCAACCCTATTTTAAGCCAACAATAAGTTGATTTTTAAATTTTTTCTCAGATCTTAGCTTTTTTCGTTAATTTTAGGTTGATAGCGAAAACTAATTTAAAATCAAATCTAAAATTTATAATTTTATCGTTTACAAATAAAATCTCAGAAAAATTTTAAGAGATTATATTTTGGGAAAAAGTCTCTAATATAGGTAGTATTGGATTAATAGATGAATATTTGACAATATTCCAACTGGCCAGCACTATTTTTAGGCAATTTCCAAATGACCCTCTGTCAACTAAATGATGGGCAAAATCATTTTATATCATTTTTTCATAGTGTAATATGTAAATTAGGGTGGCCCTGTATGTATGGAGGAAAAATAAGTTGTCGATGTCCCCAACTAAAATTAAAGTTTAATTGATTATAAGATAGTGTTTCTGAAAATTTTTGTCTTGGGGTCAATATATGGCAAGCTGGATCAAAGGATAAAAAGGTCCTATTTTGAGGTTTTTATGATTTTTTCATATTTCTTCCAAAGGAAAGATATAAAATGTTGGTATCATAAGAAAGGTCCTTAAGAGACGCATATCAGAAATTTTTGTATAACAGTAAAATTAATCTAAATTGTATGTAAAATGTAAAACTCTATCAAAAGCCTTTGAAAAATCCACTGATAGTAATTCAATTGAATCAGTTAATGATAACAATAGTGACGTGGTGCTATAGCCTCGTCGGAATACTGATTGAGAGGAATGAATTAACGACCTGCGATCTAGGTACGCAATCATCTGGAAGAATAGATATGGGGCGCAAATTATCTAGTTCCGTAGAATATTCTAAGGAACTAGAACATATGTCCTTCTTTTCTTATTGGTACAACCCTAGCTACTTTCCAGTTAATGGGAAACGACGATGTGGTTATAATGGTATTTACAAGATGAAGAAGGTGTGAGGAAATAAAAGGAGAAATTATTTTCAAAAATTTTAAAGGTATGGCATTATGACCAACTGCATTTGATTTAATTTTCTGAAATGCTAAATATAACGTATCATGCCCAATACATGAGAATGAAAAGTTATCAATAGATTGATTATTTACAATATTACTAAAATGACCAATATCCTGTATTTGACAGGAAACAAAAAAAAAACATTAATACTACCTGGGTCAGGCAATGTTAAATGTTCTCGAGATTCGATACATCCATTATTTCTTAAAAATGAACAGGACTTCTGACTCTTCTTTTCACCTTATTTCTGCATCTACAGAAAATTATCCAGTTCAGAGTAGTTCTCCACCGATGATAATGATTGTACGCAATATGTGCGATAATGTTATATAAAATTTCTCTATTTTTGAACCAGTCATCCCTACTCACTATTACTGAGGAAATAAAGGAGAAATTATTTTCAAAAATTTTAAAGGTATGGCATTATGACCAACTGCATTTGATTTAATTTTCTGAAATGCTAAATATAACGTATCATGCCCAATACATGAGAATGAAAAGTTATCAATAGATTGATTATTTACAAAATTACTAAAATGACCAATATCCTGTATTTGACAGGAAACAAAAAAAAAAAACATTAATACTACCTGGGTCAGGTAATGTTAAATGTTCTCGAGATTCGATACATCCATTATTTCTTAAAAATGAACAGGACTTCTGACTCTTCTTTTCACCTTATTTCTGCATCTACAGAAAATTATCCAGTTCAGAGTAATTCTCCACCGATGATAATGATTGTACGCAATATGTGCGATAATGTTATATAAAATTTCTCTATTTTTGAACCAGTCATCCCTACTCACTTTTACTCTCCGACGAACCATTGGAACTTGAGCATGTAATGCTTCAATATTTAACATAAGATTCTCTAGCTGTAAGTTAACATCATTAGTTAAATAGATGTTACTGAAATCCAATTCGTTAGAAGCAGATTCCAAATCCTTCACTCTTAATGCCTTATAATCTTTGTACATCGGACAAATTGGGTATGGAATGTCAACAGCTATAAAAATATGGGAATGTTTCTTAATATAAAATATAGCGCAATTGCTCTAAAGATCAGTTCAGTATTGCCAAATTGAAATTAGATGTAAATAACATTTTACAATACAATGGTTTCCCGGTTTAACGAAAGATATAATGTCAGGCGCATTCGTAAAAACGAAAAATTCGTTAAACCAAAAAACAACTTTTCTATCATTTAATGATAAAAATAGGGTAATGAAAGGTAGGAAGTCTATTTTAAAATTTTTGTAAAACTTTTAAATAAAGTTTTTGACAATTTTCTCGCATTTTTATACAGTGTGCAAAAGATAGAATTTTGTTAAATTTAGAATCAAACCAAAATTAAATATTTTATGAAAAATTTTATTAAAATTAGGTAAAAAACTATATTTTTTATTTAATGAAGGTAAAGTTGTTTCATTTCGAAAATGAATTGCTTTCTTATAAAAAATAAATTAGGAATTTGATCCCCATTTTAATCGATGTGTAATACTAAACATTTTACGGCAATTTTCATTACAAACAATTCCATTTCTCACTTTATTAGTAAAATAATCATTATATTCCCTTAAATAAAGAATTTTATATTAAAATGTATGTTTATCTAATAAATCTTATTTATGTATATTTCTGAAAATATTTTTTTAAACGTTATTTTCATTTTTTTCCAGGATTTTTGTGTTTGTAGATTTTGTACCCATTGAATTGGGTATTGAACTTACATACAATCTTAATATGTTATTGCTTTTGGTTAATAGTGAAGTTAATAGTGAAGTTGAGTGATCTCTCCGTAATATTTTCACCTCTTTTTATAGAATTTTTTTTTTAGAAATTCGTTATATCGAGTACACAATTTACTCTTTCATTCGCAATATAAGGTACTGCTCATGGTGCTCATCATTGGTGTCTAATACGCATAGAATACTTCTCACTAATGAGAATGCAGTCGTTAGTTTTTAAAAATAAATATAAAATATTTTTTTTCTTAGAAGTGTGAAAAATATTATTAATTTAATTTATCGTTTATTAATTCATAAATATTTATAAAATTTATAAACGGCCACCAATTTTCTGAAGGAAGTCTGTTGGAATTTAGGTTTATATTGATCCTCATAAAATTTAGTTTACGACTTAAGTTCATTTATTGCTTATTTATGACTATTAAGTGAGATACTAATATTTATGAGACTAATATAAACATAAAAACAATTTTCTGGGCATTGGGTCAAATGTGGCCCGATTCTTAAAAAAACTTTACAGAATTATTTGTGGATCCTTAAAACATACTCCTAATTTTATAACGATTGCTGCATAATCGGGGCGCTTACGAGTATTTAAGCGGGGCTATGTGGCTTTCTTGGACCATAATAGTGCTATATACCAAATTTTTCCCAGATATCTTTAAGCTTCCGATCTGTAATTTAACATCAATCAACTCTGGAAGTGGTTTTGAGCCTATTGGAGTCCTTTAAGCTTAGTTAAGTAATATTATTTTTGGTTTTTACTAACATTACCTGACTTACATATATAAAATGTAATGGTATAGGGTATAAAATTCAATATAATTCCTGGTTTTTCCAGTTTACGATAAATAATAACCTTTCTATATTCGTGTAAAAGTGAAAAATTATGAATAAATGTATTTATTTGATAGATTTACTGCATTTCACCTTGCATTTAAACCGACAAAACTATTTTTTCAAAAAGTAAAAAAATAGAATATCCCGAAAACCCGATTTTTGAAAATAGTTAAAGAATCGAATTTTTAGGATTGTTTCTATTAAATATTAATAATAAATTCATGTCGAATTTTATCCAGATAGCTTTATTTATCTATGAATTAAGCTCGTTTAACTGATTTTAGGATGTGGATCTTACATGGGAGCTATGGCCAATTATGGACAGTGCCGGAAAAAAAAACCGTAGAGTGATTTATGTATACACAAAACATACTCATGTCGAATTTTATCGCGATAGCTTTATTTATCAATGAAATATGTTCATTTAAGTGGACCTTGCATGGGAGCTATGACCAATTGTGGGCCGATACAGATCTAAGTCGATAGTATGATTCCTGTTCATATTATGTCAATATGTAAAAAATTTTGTGTTGATACCGATATATTTGAGGAAGTTATTAACGATAAATTAATTTCCGGGAATATGTACCTTTGTATGGGGGCTATAGGAAATTTTAAATCGATTGTTACAATTTTAAACATAATTCATCTATAAATGGAAAAAATAATCTGTGACAAAATTTTTCGAATTATCCTCGGTAGTTTCTGAGAAAACTACTCAAGAGTTAGGAAAAAAACGTA